TCCAAGATGAATTTAGTTGGAATTAATCTCCATCATTATATGCAAACGGGATTTTTGAGAGCGTGGATCGCACGATTGAATTTTGCAGGGTCCATGGCCTTCTGGCTCAAACCATGGAATGCCACGAATGTGGTATCCTTAGGGAAGAAAAGAGGATGGCCTCTAGAAATGACGGCGTTGTTTGGCGCTGTCCCGAACAGGTAAGCTAAACTTCTTGCTATCGGATCTTTCTTTGACATCTTCTATCACAGGGCTACTCAACTATTTCACCAACTATTAAAAAAAAATTAGGAATTACCGCGGCACGCTCCTTCCAACAATATATATATTTACCCATGCAAACAAAATTTCAAATGCATCTTTTGACAAAATACAAGAGCAAAACACAACACGCGCTTCGGGGCCAGTATGACAAGGCTTTGGAAGTGTCGCTGAGTGCCGACTTTTCTGAAAAGATGTGAAATATTCGCCCCCATAGCACCCTTAAATACATATATATTTAAAAGTCTTCCAGCAGCATGCAAAGCGACAACATGAGTCTAATGCGTACCACCATGCCTAAAAAGCTGTGAAAAATGTATCCAAGCGACTGCAAAACCTTTAGTTTTTACGCCACCATTGACATCTTTCTGATTAGTTAATGCTACGGGAGTAAACGAGTGAGTCGATGCTCTGACAAGTTTAGCGGAAAATGCATTACATTACGATTGTGAAATAAAACGAAATGATGCATTCCAAGTAAAGGAGCAGCAACGGTCCAAATTTTATACTCGAAAGGGCAGGATTCGGACCGCGTTTCGCCAGTTGAGTAGCCATGTCTATCATACACGTGTTTATTTTATCAGAGTTGTCGCAAGGTTATTTCAATTCGGAAGAAGGCGTTCTTTGAAGGAAGTCACCTAGAACTGTGGCAATTTGTCACATTTCTCTATTACTGGTCAAAAAACACGGACCAGGAAGATATAATGCACGAATGCAGGATATGTAATAGATCTTGCGTTGATTGGTGCAATTTTATGCGTGGGGTATGCATTTCTTAAATGTTTGAATTGAATGTTGACTTTTAAACAAGGAATGAAACGCTTCTAACCTACCGCAGATATGCTCATCTGATCTGATCAGACATCCAGTGGTCGTCGGTGGCCCTGGCCATAGACAAAAGTATGGTTGCAAGAAGAAAAAGGGGTGGAAATGCTCAAACGAGGCCAATTCGCGAACAATGGGTATTTGGAGGAATAGATTTGGAGACCAGGTCTCAATGCCCTTTAATTCAATATATTAATGAAATACGTCTCGACATTTTAATAAAAAAATATTTTTGTTCTAGAGAATGCTTCCTTCGCTTGGTACCACGTCGGGATCGCGCGACACTGGAGGGAATTATAACTCAAGTTATTGCGCCTGGCTCAGAGATATGGTCGGATGAGTGGGCTGCCTACAACAATTTGCCTAGTATTCAATATTATATTTATTTTATCAGCTCGAATTAATGCGGCGTCCTCATCTTCTGACAGAAAAAAATTCCACTCAGATTTATTTATCATATATATATTCGTGTTTTTTCCAGATAAATTATTTTCAAATTCTAAATATTTTTGTTTTAGATCTTCCACAGAATTACACTCACCGTACTGTGAATCATTCACACCGATTTGTGTCCACCACAGGTCTCCATACGAACGATATTGAAAGCTTGTGGTGTGACTGTAAACGAAAATTTAAAAGAATGAACGGCGTGAGCCGGGATTTCATTCCATCTTATATTGACGAGTGGTTATGGCGGCGTAAGCGGGAGAAATCCCACTATTTCACTACCTCACGCAAAGCGTTACGCACGAAACGCCGCATGAACGTTATCACGACAGTGTCGTCGTCGCCCTTTGCGTCGTTACGCAAACTTGGCGTCAAAATAGTTGATCAATTTTGTTCGCAAACCATTGGAATCGATAGTACAAATTCTGCAATAAAATGAGTTATGCGTATGTTAAGAAAGTCATCCGTATATTCCCCGGAAGGTAATTTTGTATACTTTTCAAAATTTTACTTACATCGGAACGTAGTGTGTGTACCAGGTTAGGGTTAGGCCATATTTTTAGGTACAAATACTACAGGAGTCATTTTGCTAGTCCCCAAACTCGTAATAGAACTGGAATAAGGAAAATTGGAATAAAATTATGCTCTAACCCAAACCTGGTACACATTCTACGTTCCGGTGTGCCATCTTGGTGCACATACTACGGAGCGCCTTTACTTCATCGTTTTTGTTAGGGCTACATGCAGCTCACGGTGAAATGATGAAAATCAGCCAGGCGAGCAGTTCAGAGTTTTTCAGCGTATACCAACTTTTCTTTTCAGTAAACTATTCATTTCATGACAGCTACGAGAATCTAAAACTTTCTTCTATATTGATATAATTTTGTATCCAACGTAACTCGCGGTTACGTCTTCTCGTTCTTCTTTAATCTTTTGATGTAAAAATATGAGATAAACATGCCTAATTGTATTTAGTTTCGATTGATTGTATAACAACTCTCAGTGAATTTCAATTGTGGGCAAAAATAAAGCAATTATTATCGTTGTCGTGAAATAATTGTTGTGATTCAGGGAGAATAAGCACCAACTAAAGGTGTTTACGGCCAAAATAACACGTCACGCTGATAAAAACAATCAGGAATTTTAGCAAAAAGCAATCGCACGCGCTATTTGCGACTTTTTCAGTTTTCCAAAAATTTGAAAGGAGGAGGATGATCGACTGCACAAGCTTACCCACACCGATTTTGGCTACAGTTTCGGCCTATCGTCGATTGCAGTTAAATATTGCATGTTTTTTAAATGAATTTGTCGATATGTTATTTTTTTGTTTAATTGTAGAATGTTTGCCGCACTACGAAAATATATATCTGAATATGGCTCAAATCGCTTGGCGTGCCATGAGAAATCCTCTCGCGTGCCAGGGGTTGCCGACCCCTGACATAGACCATAGGTGACGAACCGGCGACCCGCCAAGGAGTTTCGTGTGGCCCGCGAAGCATTCAGGCGATTGATTCAGTGTATGTTTGGCTTGAGTATAAAACTTCGGGAATTGTACACGAAAATCGGAAGCGCTAGTAATACTTATAATATTGGCAACGCTATTTCCAATACATCTTGTTTTGTTGGGTGAGCAATGGATCAAAACAACGATTGTCTTAGTCTAGTTATGCTGTCTTATCGGCAAACGCATAGGGATTAATGGAGGAAGGTTAGACTTACTTTGTGAAAATGTAATACTTTGGCGCATGACACACGGGAAATCAGAAAGAATGTTTATAAGTTCCGCTAAAAACCAGGGTGGCCAACCTTTCACATACCATGCGCCACGTTTTAAACATAATGTTTCAGATGCGCCGTAAATCTCTTGTATTCCCACGCCTAATGTCCGCTTCTTGTTGAAATTATATAAATCTATGATATACACACGTATATGTAGTTTTTACAATTTACAACTTCACATGAATAGAAATTAAGCAAGGAAGTATATTGAATAAAACTGATCAATTTTAAGTACCGCCTTTATGAGACTTTTGCTGCTGTTTTACTTTCGCCAGTTTTTTTATTCTTGGAGTTAAGTTTGTTACTGAGAGGAGCAGTGCATTCTTCAAATTTAAATCTGTAAGTCTTGACCTCGCTTTGCTTTTAATTAGTTTCATGGCAGAAAATGTTTGTTCACATCTATATGTCGTTCCGAAACGACATATAAAACCCTGGGCAAATTTCCTCAGTTCTGGAAAATTTTCACGGGGTAACGATTGCCAGAACTTGATCATGTCAGATGCACTTGGGACTGAAGAAAGCTCATCAAATTGAATTTTCAATGATGGATGAGTTTTCAAGTCAATTAGTTTCAATTGTATATTGCTTGGCATCTTCATTATGGTTAGTTCACTAAGTAAAAATGGGTTTATAAAAGCAAGTATAGAGTCTTCTTCTTTTGAAATTTAATGAAAACGACTTTCAAATAACCCTGGCAATAACTTGATTTTTTCTGTGTATATTGCCAAATTGCCATTACCAGCAGCACATTCACGGTATTCTTTTATGTGAGGTACGATTAAGAAGTAAAGTTAGGCGTAATATTGTGACAACAGGCCCTTAGTATCAATCTCTACTCCACTCTACCCTCGATTCTAATTGGCCTTTGCTAATCAGCTGTTTGGCCTAGCGTCGCGTGATTTTACTCCAGGGGCTTCTTCGAGATTAGTACTTGCGTCACAGCAAGCGATTTTACGCTTCGCTTCTGTTGACAACGGTCATTTGAAGTTTGGATGAAAAAGGTGGTATTTAGGGGTCATTTTCAGCATGTTGTGGGTTGATTTATAAGAAAATGTTTAGACTTGGGCAATTCAACTGGTTGTTCAATGGTTATTGGGAGATATTTGGGAAGTCTGGGCAATGGAAAATCCATGTTTCAAGCTGATAAATGACGATTTTCTATTTTTCCAGAAGTTCTGGACTTTTTACTTCAGTAGGGAAAAAATAGTAAATTTTACTAATTTTTGCTAGAAGTCTAGAATGAATGTCATAAAGTCCATTCAAAAGCTAACGTCGATAATCGCCTGTTGTTTCTAATTCCAACAAGCCGTAAGTGGGCGACGTGGAGTAAGAAGAACAGGTTTTAGGTACAATCAAAAGTCACCATGTAAATCGCAAAAAAAACGGCTTGGCGTGGAGAAGCCACGTGCAATTAACAATTTTGGCATGAAAAGGGTTAAAGATGCAATGCGCCACCTCTAATCATGCAATGCGCCACGTTTGGCGCATGCGCCATAGGTTGGCCACCCCTGCGCTAAACGATTGAAACACTGGAAAAATTGCCTACATTTCAAACTCGGTTAATCGATGATAGGATTGTTTCGTTTTTAATTTCTGTAACCGAAAGCATGCGAAGTACAGATCTTTTGTACAAAGCCCTCGCCAATTGATTTGATAATTTGAATTTCCGCCGCAATCTTCAAGGTGCGTTTACACTGGATGCGTCGCGACGCGTTGCGAAGTGCGCTCGAGATCGCTCTCCATTGTTTCAAGTGACGCCGTTCACACTGAAAGCGCGGCACCTAACGACGACGCGCGGTGCCGCTGCTGATTCTCTCGCTGAGCGTTTTTCGGCGCGACTGACCTTCGAATTCCACGTGCTTTTTTGCGGCGGTGTCGGCTGCTTCCCGTGGGAAGTGGTTTTACATTCTGCTTAGATCAGAAGGTACCGCATTTTATAACTGCAATATCAAATTAGGTACCGTTTATCGTAATTTATAAGTTAAATATCCAAATTAGGTACCGTTATCTAGGTCAGAATAAAATTGATTGCAAGTACTAGTGAAGGATTGTAGTCTTTACTATTTGCTATACCGGTATGAATTCTAACAACAATTGTATTTTGAATTCATTACAAACTTTGTTTCACAGTCATGTCGTTTGAAGAGCTTTTAATAAATGAGGTGAAATCTAGACCATGTCTGTATGACATGAGTCGTCACGATTATCGTGATGTTAATATCAAATCCAACAATTGGGCGGAGATAGGAGCATTGCTCCATGTTACTGGTTAGTTACTTTTATTATGGCATTGCTGGATTTATCTTGATGGCAAAATCACGTTGTCTAAAATATTTTCAAGTACACCAAATTGAAAATAAAAGCTTGCTTTGCTCAACTAACACCACAATCTGATAATGCTATTTAGGACAGCAGGCAAGAGAGAAGTGGAAGGCGTTGCGAGACAGATTCGTCAAGATGAAAAATAAAAATGAAAGTACCATGAAGTCAGGGGCACCCGGAGGCGTTTCAACGAATAAATGGCATCTATTTGAACACATGACTTTCTTAGATTCCTTCGTGCAGCATCGAAAGTAAGTTATTTTGCATAAAATCGGCACAAGAGTAAATATTGAGCTGCTGTGATATGTTACTATGATGAAAAGTGTGTGCCTATTTCAATGATATATCTATCACATGTTTTGAAATGATCTGTTCAATTTGGTACAAGTTAAATTCTTTATTAATTTGGAGTTATTTCAGGACCTTTTCTATTTCATATTTCAGAACGTCCTCAAATTTAGAACTTGTCACTCTATCAGCTGTGGTAGAAGGGGAAGAAGTGTCTGGGTCATCTTCTGTCGCACCGACACCAAAAAAAAGGAAGGAAGAAGTGAACATGCGGATTTTGAAAATTCTTGAGGAGGAGAAGGATGGTAATTTTTTTAACCTTTTCGAACATTGTTTTTGTTTCATGTTTTATCTACGGTCACACATGATATGGTGTGATCGAGATTAGTTTATTATGTTGTAGAATTAAAGGAGCGTATGCATAGCATGCTCATATAGACAAGACAGCTACCGTATATACTCGCCTATAGGTCGCAACTTTTTACCTATTTTTTTAAAAAAAATATAGGTGTGACCTATCCGCTCGACATACAGACGATTTTACAAAAATTTGGATATAGGCCATTTCTACAAATCGTAACACGCCGCACGCATCTATTACAGTTGACCTGGTTCTAACCATATAAAATTATGAGCGTCATTAACATATTTTGATTATATTTTGCCCTACAAAAAAAACAAAATAGGAAGATACCTATGCAAAAATCTAGGAAAAGGGCTTTTTAAATCCGTAGATTTTCAGTTTGACTTATGTGCGAGTCAAATCAAACTTTTTTAACACAAAACTAATAGTGCGACCTATACGGTGGTGCGACTTATAGGCGAGTATATACGGTATGCTCAAATATTTGGCGAAAAAAAATAATAGCCTTCTGGGGAAAAATTTTATCTTTAACCAATGAAAATTTCAAAACAATTGGTCCAGTAACCAAAGAGAAAAGCGATTTCTTCTGAACGTGTCAAAGAAGAACAAGACTAAGTCTAAGAACAACAAAACGTTCACTATGTCCACTACGTGTCCAATAAACACGTAATGGTATAGAATATTGATACTATATATATTTATTTGTAGATGATCCAGACAAATTCTTCCTTCTTTCACTTCTACCACAGCTGAAAAGACTGTCTCCTGAGCGTGCTTCATCAACAAAGATGAAAATCATGCAATTACTCCATGAGGCTGAATTTGAGAAATGATTCAAATTCAATTTCCCACTTAAAAATTAGAAAATAAATTCAAACGTTTTTTTATCTTAATTACAGTACATTACTAAATTTAATTGACTCCGTACAAACTTGAGCAACCTTCTCTAAACAAGAACTCAATTTTCTAAAAATTTTAATGTTTTTTATTGTTAGTTTACCTCAACCATTTTATTATTTGTTCAGGCAGTATGCTTTTTCATTCTGGCTATTTCTCATTACAGCTTCATGGAGTATTTGCATGATTTTCATCTTTCTGCTGCTGTTTATTTTCTTTTATCAAGCACAAATTCTTTTTTCAATTACGTTCATTTTCAAATATTCTTTGATGAAAAATTTGGATTATTTTCCAAATTGATTACAGCTTGAAATATTTTAGTGTAGCGTGTCAAATGTAAAATCTCTCATTCAGTAATATGTTTTTTCGATGGTAACCACTAAGCTAGATAAAAGAAACTTTTCATGTCCTTCTGACTCTTTGAATTTGCCAGGGGCAAGCTCCATCAACCATGAAATAATTTTTAAAGCTGTCGCGAACAGCCGCCGCCGCTACACTATTTCTGCGACCTTGCCTTTGCAGGGGCAAAAAACTGTTATCCTCTTGTACCCGCCAACTTCCTCTTGTTATGTTTCCCTCCAGGTCTTCCCTATCCACTTCACCTGCATCTATCAGTGTATGGCGTCTTACATAATTGTGCAAACAACATGCTGCCTTCACAAACCACTCTGCGTTTTGTGGCGACACACCCATGGGCCTCCTAAAAACTCTCCACTTCGCACTCATTATACCGAATGCATTTTCTACTACTCGCCTTGCCCTGGATAGCCTGTAGTTGAAAACTTTTTCATCAATTGGCAAATTTCGCCCCGGGTATGGTCTCATCAGGTGCTTCTGTAGTGGGAAGGCTTCATCCCCCACTATCACATAGGGAGCCTTTTTTGAGCTGTTAGTAAGTGTTGTTTCATCCGGCAAATTCAGGGCCCCTTCATTCATGAGCTTACCGAGAGCAGAGTGGGAGAAAACACTTCCATCACTCTGCTTTCCGTAAGCTCCCACATCGACAAAAACAAAATTATAATTGGCGTCGACAAGGGCCATTAGCACAATGCTGAAGGTGTGCTTGTAATTGTAATAAAGGGACCCTGAATTCACCGGTGCTTGAATTTGTATATGTTTCCCATCTATGCTCCCTATGCAATGTGGGAAATTCCACTTTTTCTCATACTCTTCAGCGATTTGCTTCCATTTTGTAACTGTTGGCGGGCTTAAATATTCTTTTTTGAGTGATGTCCAAATTGCCTCACAAGTTTCTGTAACTATTCCTGAAACTGTTGATTTCGATGTCCTATATGAATCTGCTATTGTGGTATAAGAATCCCCTGTTGCTAAAAATCTGAAATATGATATATGTGCACTTTTATTTGATGTTATGTTTATTTTGTTTTTAATAGTTCTATGTGGATGTGTTATAATTTGAATATTTTCTTCCACATACATTTTGCTACATGGTTTGAATATACAGTAATTGCTCACCTTAATGTTATTCCAAGCCTCTCTTCAGGAGATATAGGTTCTCGGAAATTAGTCGTGGTTTTAGTTATGTAAGGAGCCACTAGACTCCTCAGGTCATCAAACATACCAGGGTCCAGGCGGTATTGGTTACGAAATGCAACCGTTCTTTTAAGTCTCATTTCTTGGACAAGTCTATGGTACTCACCTGCGTAGAAAGTATTATTAAATGAAAGATAAATGTTTATTCAATTTCAAGCTCTACCGTCTGTTCAATACACAGGTAGATGAAGAAAACAGTATAAGATAGCCTATGATTAATTAATCTTATATTAGTATTTTGAGGAAAGACCACGCAGTTTCATAGGGCGATGATTTGAACTTACCAAGCTCTTTCCTTCTTTTTAATATGGGATGAACCCAATGTTCCCTTTGCTTTTGCTCCGTATTGTTTGCCAAATAAAGGGCGATTGCCAATCTTTTCCTTTTCGAAAGTGGCATATTTGTAAATTTTGTAGCGGAGTGGGAAGCAGACGAAATTCTAGCTGAATTTCCCGCGTCAATGTTCCTAAGCAACCGCCTCTAGCGCCCTTGAGTGGTGGAGAAATGACGCGCGCTATGTAAACACCTGCCCCGCGCGACCAGAAGCCGCGCCGCGCCGCGACGCATCCGGTGTAAACGCACCTTTATGAAGTGATAAATTTGGAGATGGACACGCATAACCTCAAGGCGGACGTCGCCGAAATTACATTTGGCACAGGTTCTACGAAAAAAGAGAGAAACCCGTCCCCGTGACATTTATCTCATATTATATTTTCGTTTACGTCCTATATGTAAATATATATATTTATAAAAACCTTTTGTGTGTTTTATTGGAGTGACGGAACTGGGTGACTACACAGCTAAAGAGTTATACGTGGGAAATTGAGATAATCATCATGTTAAAGAATAAGTAGATAACTTACTACCGACTATAAATGGCGAAACGCAGAGCCAACGACGAAAACTGGAGCTCACCGGGAGGCATATCAAGTACCTACGGTGTGAAAAGACAAAAAGGAAATACCTTTGGCGATCCAACGGATATGAGCGGCAATCGTTCGAGATGTTGGTGCTTCTCCACCGTTTCCTGCGAAAACTTGATACGAGAAACCGACGCTTGGTTAATATACGTAGGACCGTTCGAAGAAGACTCTAGGCGAAAAGTAGCCCATGGTATAATACCTACTGCAGGACGAACTTGGAAATCCAGACAGCCCTTGCGGAAGAAGAGGGTGTAACAAATTTTGACAGCCAACAAGATTGTAATTCTGAACAATTATCTAGCGACTCTGAGAACAAGTAGAGATACATGGGTGAAATACATGTACAAATGAGGCTGTATGGATGATATTCCGGCAAAACTGAAACGATGGACAGGCATATCAGAAAACCATCAAGATGTACACAAAAGAGTTCTGCAATGGCACCAACTCACAGTCGTTGCCTAGTGATCAGCATTTCAAAATGGCCACTTCAGGATCTGATGAACCTGCTTCAACTGAGGCAATGTTAGGCAGTAATTTATGACACAGGACCTACAGATAAATGAAAATTTTGGAATTGACGTGAGAAGTACAGCTTCTATATTATGACTAGGAACAGTTTATTACAATAAAAATAGTATGCAGTCAGTATGCAATAGTTGTGTAGTCAAGTTAGCAGATATGATACACTGATTAGGTGTGGTAAAACTTTTGAGTGTAGTATAAAGACATTGTAGCCTGTAAATAGATTGTTTTTGGATAGAAAAAGGAGATATAAGAACATAATCAAGTGTTATTTCACATGACAGTATAACCTTTTTTTTTCTGTAGTATTTTAGTGTTGATGATATTTCGTCAGCCACACACAATGACGGATGATGATTGCATTTCTGGCCACAAAATGAACAATTGTACGGACCAAAATAATAGTAATTTAGATGACAAAATTCTTCCAAATGATGCGATAGATATACCAGAAATAAATGACACTGAAAAAGTGCCAAAATCAAAAGCTATATTTAATTTCGAAACAAGACGTTTGCTTGTTCCCCCATCACCATTCGAAGTACAGTTTGACGATATCCCACTGCAGTCTGAGCCAACTGCTAACCGTACACATTATGAGTATTACAATATGTTTGTAACTGACGACATGTTTGCTTACTTGGCTGAAGAGTCAACTATGCTCCCCAGGCAGCATTATGTACTACTGCAGATGAACTCGAAAAGTTTGCTGGAATGTATTATCATATGGGTTCGGTTGACATGCCCAGTTTGGTCCATACTGAAACAATGATACAAGCTACCAACCGCGAAACCGATTTCAGAAAATTTGTCGGTATATTCATATAACAGACAAACATGGAACCGACTGTGGTGAGGAAAAAAGTCAAGAAACGTTCCTGAGACCGTTGAACGTGGAGCACAGATGTCGTCACTTGTGCAAGTAAGAAAGTTAAAACCAATGACGTCGCCGGCAACAAGAAGGCTTTGTGGACGCCATTTCCCATCAATGCTTCCGAAATCGCGTGAGAGATTGTGTAGTTAATTGAATACAATCTCGCATGCGAAAGTTCAAATAAAAATGGCCACAGCGCAAAAAACAGTATTGAATCCGAAAAATCGACATTGCGACATTCTATGCCCGAAATTTTGACAGTGCGACAGAAGCTTTCCGAATACGGCCGAGTAAGCATATAAATACTGAGATAATAGACACATTCTTTTTTTTTGAGGATTTATGCTGCTCATCAATATTGTTGTCACGGGTGTGTCAAAATAAAATTCAAAACAATTTCACATTGATTCTGATAAAGAATACGAAGTGATTTCTTCGTACCTTGGTCTTGGTTGAGGCTGAAGAAGTTCGAAGGTACGACCGGTCAAGAAACGCGCACGTTTCAGCACCAAAGCCTTGCGTCATTGGTGAATATAACAAATCAATGGACATGATGTGCTCTCTGTATAAATATCAGCCGAAGAGCAAGAGATTATAAATGTATATTTGTTATCACACTCTAACCATAGGTCAATGCATGGTTTTTATACAAGAGGGATTGTATCACACAAAATGAGTATTTTCCCCGAGGGAAATAATTTTTTTGTACCCAGAAGTGGTCTTGGTTAATAGAGGATTAAATATTCCAAAGTCTCTATCAGACTTGTATTCTCCATCTAATCGTAGTCTTACGTTTTCTGAATTATGCAGTAAATCTGAGGAGTTATTCACCAATATCAGTGTGTCAACACAGCAGTTGAGCATTTTTATATTTAAGGTTATATTTGAAAATCCGTCAAATTTGTTACCTAACTACCATTACCATTTGTTTTATCTAAACAATTGAACTTGAGGTGCTGCGAATTTATCAAAGCTGAAAGACTTCTACATTGAACATTTTTTACCAAATATATGCCTAGACTCTAATATTTAAAAATACATGGCTGAAACAATAACCTCAAATACATCTTTTCCTAACCATGATTTGGAACCATGATGATGTGGCGAATAAATTCAACCCAGTAGAAAATATGTGTTTTTAATTCTCATATTCTCCTTTGTTGTTACAGTCTGAATAAATGATAGGATATTGTATTGTATATAAAACTAAAAACAGACATCAAATGGGATATGATAAACAAGGTATATAAAAATTATACAAGCTTCTTTAAAAAGTTCTGAAAAGTGCTAAAAAGTTTTCTATGATTCACTAAGACATCCTGAGGCAGAATCAAATTACAAACATTTTTCTGATTCAATCTGCTAGCCA